ACCATCTTAATAAACAAAAGTGGAATGATTCTTAAGCTTATTTCATAAAACGTAGCATAAGAAATATTCAAACAAATGTTTGTTAATGCTGAATGTCAGAAAACGGTTAGTTTTACAACAATTCATTCAACGGTAAAGTTTTTCTTTACCCAGAGTGGGCCATTTCAAAATTCAATAGCACAATGAGTACGATTTACCCTGAAGTTATTCATGTATCTTCCATTATATATATAATTAAAAGCATTGACTCTTAAAAAGACGAACTAATCGCTACATATTAACTACATCAATGATTGCAAATAATTCTGGAGGTGGATGACATTGCCCTATCAGTCAATTTAGTGTGATACAAAAGTTTCCTATTTGTTTGTTTAAACAAACGTTTGCGTTTTTCTTTCTGTATCCTAGTTCCAGCCACTCTCTTGGAATGTATATACATTGAGTCCAACTCTATTAATTTATGCCCTAACAAAAAGTGATGTGAATTGTTAACGACACAATGGAATTACATATGTAGATGAATTAACACTATAGCCGAAAAGCTACACTGAATAAGGAGATAGAAGGAAATAGGGATGTTTACAAAGTAAACATTAACTGCTTTAGCAGTAGCTTTTGTATAAACACTTAATAAATTAAGGCAACTCATAAATGAACAATATTGGTTTCAATTAGATCTTCATAAGGCTTTACACTATCGTACAAGAATATATGAAAAATATTAAACCAGTCAAGGTAGTTTATAAATTAATGAAAGGACTAAAACAAATTACATAATTAAACATTGTAAGTAAAGGGCACAGATTAATGGTGTAATTATAGATGTACTATTAGGTATAAGAATAATAAGGGCTAGAATAAAGGTGTCCCAACATAGAAAATAGGTCAGAACTTTGAAAAAAACAGATATTAAGACAATTATCGTTAAGAATTGCTAAAATTAAGAAATAAGAGCAAAGCCTGATGAATATCTAATTGAAAACAACATTCTGCTTATACCTTTTGTTCCAATTTCCACAATGGGAATTTTTGATACTAGGTAGATTGTACTGTCATAAAAAACAATAAAAAAGTTCATTAAAAGTGGGATCTCATTCGAAACAACTAATAGTAAATATGTATAGGATTAATGGTTGACCACTGCACAAGGATGTGTATTAGCATTATTCAACCAAACTGACCTAACAGTGAATTTTACAAAAACATGAAATCTGTCCATCAACTTTAGGCATGCGTACCACTTAAATCTAATAATATACTTTAGCAAGTGAATATGAACAATTTTTATTGATTTACAATTCACCAATAAACTTTGGTATTTACATTTTAAATACAATAATGACAGTATATTTTGAGATCGATTAAAGGAATCACTCTGATTTGCTAGTGTGATCAGACTGACAGATTTTTTCTATTAAGGTTCATTAGTTGTGTAGATGAGATTAATAAACTACTTCAAAATAAATGTTGTTCGCGTATACTGACATGGTACGAACCTATCCTAATTCAATTTAATAGATCCATTAACAAAACCGGTTTTATAATCGATCTTTATACACCAGAGTTTATATATGTAAGCCTCAATATCGATCTAATAATTTTAAATTGTTTGAAAAGTTTGAATTGTGGTAATCACAGTCGGACCATGTTTAAAAAATACCAGCATCTAGTGGATGAATATGAGTATTGTGTTAATTATCAATCATTGTCTATATATATATATATATATATATATATATATATATATATATATATATATATATATATATATATATATATATATATATATATATATATATATATATATATAATTTAGAGATAACTCATGCATGTTAGTAACTAAAGCAATTAGTTTTGATGATAGGGATCTTGTCTGTTTAGTAAATTTTACTTTAAATTACTGAATCGAATCATTCATATCACTAACGTATGATATGACTGTTCTCCAGTACCATCACTAAACCTTCACTCTCTACACACTAATTTATCTTTATAAATCTCAGCTTACTCGGAATTTTGAAAATCCTACCTTACATCTAATCACTAATAAGTAATGGGTTAAAATTTAGCTAGTTATTTCTTGCATGAATATTTATTCAATGCCCAGTATTCACAAGGTATTTGATCATGGAATTTCTTATTGATCAATTTCTGCCTCTTTTCAACAAAACCAAGCAATGTCGTTGAATGCTCTTGGGTAGAACGCGCATCGGACGAACAATGTATCTAGATTTACAAGAGCAGGTGAATTAATAACTTCATGTAGAAGTGATCAGGTGAGAAAACTTATGCTTTAGATTGTTGTTGGTTAGAAAATACTAACCTCAACATTGCGAGACAGAATATTCTCTTGAAAGCTAAAAGTCCTTCTCTTTAAAATGTCTAAAGGTTCGCCACATTTCTAACAATAAACACCCATAACCACAACACACATCAAATGATTAGATAGTCTTAAGACACTGTAGTTGTTTCGTTATTACAGAATTTCACTAATTCTCCACGCAATGCCATTTCATAATATAGACCTGTTTGGTTTTTGGTTTTTTCATATTTATAAACGAAAAAACTTTGACTCTGAAATTCTTAAATCGCTTTATAAGTGTTTTTATTTCAAATGAAAAACCCAGTTGTCATTTAAAAATCCACTAAATTTCATTATCGCTATTAGTCTAAGAATGAAAATAGATATTTTGTTTTCACGGAGTCAGATTTTTGGTTAAAGTCGTTCACGTAAAGTCAAAATTAAGGTAGATTACTTTTAAATTTACATTATTCGGTAAGTGGCCGTCTAATAACAATAATAATAATAGTACTCAGTTTTGCATCAAAAACTAACTTTAACTAGACAACTATAGGAAACTAGCAAGCACTGTTTGGTCTTAATATGAGTCAACTCCCCATTGATGAACTTTTCAAACTCATCAGAGATCGAATACAGGATCTTCTGAACTTTCTACATCACAAATACCTTTTTTACCATTAGACTGGTACCCAGTGATCCATATTGCCAATTTCAGTTGATTTACAACGTTGGATAACCATCGTCAATTGATCTCAGTGATAAGTGTCTCATGCCTGATATAGTTAAACCTCAATGGTTACGGAGTCTCTTTAGAATTTTCACGAATTTCACTCCTTATTACTGACGTCTACACAGTTGATCACGATTAATATAGAAGATTTAGAGACTATTAAATTGAAACTCAGCAACCTAAAAGAAATACACCAACTTTAAGGTTTAAAGATCCTATGTTCGACCGCTGGTCCATTCACGGATGAGTACTGCTGAAAAATCTTAAACTAAAAAGAAACACCCCTCTAGTATTCCTCCATTCAGAATGGTTGTTTAGCTAAAGTTGGTACATGATGTGAAGCTACAAGCTGAACAATTTCTAATAAATCATTCTTGTTAATACGTTATAATATCTTAAAAGAAATAATTATAACTATGCATCGTATTTACCTCCTAATCATTACTTGATGACATAAATTTGCAAATCAGTAAGCCAGATGGGTTACATTTATCCCGAGTCATATACAAAACACACTGACGAATGGCTTTTAGAAATTCCATATGTTATCAATTCATTTTAATACTGCTGAATAGCTTAACAACATGAATCATTCAAAAGCTATTGAACAGTTGTAACATCTTGGTTTTCAAACCCTTTAAAACTCATCATTCACAACTCTGTGAAAGACTTGAATAAGTACATTCCTGTCACTTAACATAAATGATAACAATACAGCTGCAATGAAATAATATACATCATCGACTTGTTTGATCAATATTTTACTTGACAATATAACAAAATGATTCTAATTTAATGCCAACGATGAGTTACTAATTTAAAGGAATAACTTTTACAGTTATTTCTGAGAGATGAAGTACAACTTCTGTTAGATAATACCCCTTTATGTTTTGTTGATGATGAAAAATATAGAATAAAAATCAATTGTGCATTCAACTACATTCAGTTTTCAGCATATCTTAAGTGAAAAAGACTTATTTTACCAGTATAGATTGATTATTTCTTGACATATATGGGAGTACATTAAATATCGATCTAATTTTCTAATAATAAGATTATGGTGAAAAGAAAGAAAGCGCCTAAAATAAATATGTGATCAATAAGTTAATCTATAAAACAATAAACAGATATACTTTACTATGGTAACCGTATTAGAAACTTTGCTCTCAATAAGAAGTTCTTAGATAATTTATACTGATACTCATCATAACCCTATTTTAATAATATATAGTAATACGCACCAGTCACGCCATTCGTTATAATCTTTCCACTGATGAAATACGCATCCCAGAATAAATACGATTAAGGATAACTTTAAGTTGTGACAACAAATAAAGCACAGTATGGTATATCTGCCATCAAAATGCTTTATAACTGCCTTGTACAGTCCTTCAAATGGTATGGTTAGGACAAGTTTAGAAATACAACACACCACTTGGAAGAAACCATATATATATTTCAGAGCGACTAATATAAACTTCTGCCCACTAAACACGTTCAAAAGCTAAATATCAAGGTTATGAAAAAATGTTTCAACCTCTTCTATGAGAATTGAATAGACTGTTAAATCTTTTTTTCTTATATTAGATTGAGCAGTGAACTTAACATTTAAATCCCTTCATTTTACCTAATTACATTGACTCACATATATCTATCTCATATTTCATCTTCTATAGAACTAACCATCTTTAAGATCACCGTTGAAAAATTGTCGGAAAATCAAGATTAACTCTGTACACTTATTTGGAGATTTCATCTCTTCCACAGAATAGTAATATTCAATCACTAGGCCTCATTAACAGTATAAATTTCAACAGCTTCACTGATGAACACATGTCAAGTGACAAGTCAATTATCCTTGTACTCGAAAACAGAAAATTGATTACATGGAAATATCTATAGTGAATTTGATGAGAACACAAATGAAACTTGCAAGAAAAAAGAATCTAAAAAAATCAATTAACTTACTTCGCTTCCGGTTTCAATTCAATTAATGGTTTTACACTACAATCGCAATTCCATAAATTTTCACTTAGTTGGATTTTTAAAAATTGATCGTTTTGTATACGTTCAGCTAGTTCTTTCCATGGTATATAAGTTAATAAGTTTTCAGATAAGTTAATATCTTCCAAATGTGTTAGTAATTGTTTAAAATTATTTGGTAATTGTGTTAAATGTGTTCGAACAAGATATAATCGTGTTAATTTATTTAATATAACAAAATCATCAATGTTATCTAATACATGATCATTAATACGCAATGTATTTAATTTTTCACTAAGACCAGCTAGAGATTGAGCATCTAAACGATACGGACCATCGACATTACTCAATGATAAGCGTTCTAGACTATTACGACTAAATATATTAAAAAATTTCGGTTCAATTGAATAAATAGTAGATTTTTCGATTTGTAAACGTTTAATTTGTGCACCTTGATATTTTTCAAATGATTTAATGTCTAGTTTAGTTTTTACACTTCTTATAATCAATTCATATTTACCAGTTAAATTATTTAGAAACGAACTTGATGGGAATTCATTGGTACATATAATTACAGATTGAGCTGGTTCACAACTTCCATGAATTATTTTAATCGGAATAGAATATATAGTAAAAAATAATAGAATTAAATGAGTTACTGATGAAGACTTTCCAAAAAATAACGCTGAACTAAATAACATGTGAAATAATTTGTGATTATTATTAGTAGTAATAGTAGTAGGTAAAAATGATTCCGAATGTTTTCTCGTGGCTGTGTGTGCTATTGCCTGACTGATTCTTTGCTATCAAGTTGGTTGTTGATGATAGTGTTCAAGCAGTTGGTGAAATATATGGATTAATCGCAAAGAAAATAACGGTATTTCCAAATATAATACAAGTAGCATATAATGATAACAGAGGTTCCAGTCAAATTTTCCTCAATGTAATTTCAATTTGAAAAAAGCTTTTTTATATATATCTATGAATAAGTATTCAGAGTTGATTTATTAGCAGTTAACTACCTCGCGTTTTTAATAACATTTATATACATATATATCTCCGTTGATAATATTTAAAATAACAGTAAGTATTAATCAGATTTTAAAACAACAATAATTAAAGTATTTATCTCTCTCTCTCTCTTGCTCTGAAAAATGTTCTCCTTGATGGTTTACGTATTTTTTTAATTACTATGTGCCAGTGTTCGTGCTGATGTGTACGATGTATGTATGCGTTCGTAAGTGGGTGGGTGGGTGACTGGTTCTTTGTGTATGCGCGTATGTATACAAACCGTAACTCTAGTGTTTGTATCCGTTCCTGTTCCGGGGTGATACTGGACTTTGAACGAATTGTGTAACAGTATTACACAAAATAATTTATATGCACTTTACTCTTTGTAATACGAAATAATAAAAAACTAATATTTTGAACGGATACAGACCCGTATGTTATGCATTGTATTGTTGCCGTGTTTTATCAGGATTGTGCAATGATTCATATTCATCGCTTATTTTTAATGGCAACCATAATGAGAAATAATATTTCAATGTATATAGATGCACACACACAAATCATATACATACATGTACATGCAGCATATAAAGAAGCCAATAAAAATTTAAGTAAACGCCCACTCAATAAACTAATCACAATAGAGAGTTTAACAATTACCATATAAGAATAGTGAGAAGTAATATGAGTGTACAGACATTTATAGTAAACGAACATATTCATCACCCAACCAATCAAAATCAAAAACTTATGGATTGCTTAGGCATTGACGACCCATCAATCCACTTTCAATTCACAAAACATCAAAGATGGTCATTCTCAAGCTCACGATGAGTTCAAACGATAATAGATGATAACTAGCCAATTAAATCTCAAGATTCATTTATGGGATATGCCTGATTACTCAACCAAAATTTAGGCATGAAGAATAAGTTGCACTATGGCATCTTGCCCACATGTCACGTGTTAGCGAGTATTTTAAATGTCAAACCTCGCATCCTTCCTTGGCCTTAATTCCTTTGACGGCATGTTTTGGTTTTTTTCTTCTTTCATTTTTATTTGGTTATTATTGATTTTTAAATTATTGTTTTGTAATTTTAAACTCTAATCAGTTGTTATAATTACCTTATATTTTAAATGTCTTTATTTATTAGCTGTGAACAGCATTTTCGCAGTCACACGTCAATTCTAGTAACGTTTGCGCTTGTTATATGACTTTTATCCCAGTAAGTAGTAGTCCGATGTAGTTGTTGTTCACTATATGTGTGAATGTTAAATTAAATGTAATGTGATTACTTGTCTCAATCTGAACTCAAGAGAGTGAAATGCACTATTAGTCAAGTCAGAGATAGACTATTGTCAGATTTTTTAAACATAAATAGGTTCTAAAAACCTTTAACATCTGATTCACCACTCTAAAGGATGTTGATGAACGAAGATATCTAGTAGTCGTTTAGTAGCAGGTTGAGGCAATTCTAGATTCAACTATTTTTCCTAGTATACAACGATAAACAGTTCTAACCATCATAAGTGTCATCATTTTTGACGGAACTGACAGTAATGTATAACTTATTTGAGAAATAAAAACTATATGAGTAGTGATTGACGTTAATAGTCCCATCTACCCGCATTCTGAACACATACAGCAGCTGTATATAACATCACCGTGTCACACTACAGTCACATATTCTTCATACGTAAAATGGCGCACTTTTGTTTTGAACGTAGTAACTGAACTATGTTGTTAGTTAATACGAATTGATGATGCATCTATTATAGAGATTACAGATGAATTTCTGTAAACAGAATTTGTAAGCACTGAACAAATTATAAACAGAGATCTAACGCATATGGATGAGCAACATTTAAATTGTACTTTCCAATGATTTCTACTTTACGTGCTGACTTTAAAATACATTACAAAGTTTAACCGTTTGTTTCTTTACTGATTTTTTTTTCAGAATTACATTGTTTAAGCCGGTAATCTGTTGATATGTTATCTGATATTAAACTTATGGATTCTGTCAACTAATTGAAAAGCTAAAGCTTATCCAATATTCAAGTCTGTAGTGCCGCGATTCGTTAATCGTTTACTTCGATAACCGTTATAATTCTAATCTCAACGGTGCGTAAAATCAGAAGACAAAGGATAGCAGCAACTACAGTTTATTCTCGAATAACTCAGGTTAGAAAGTTAACAACACCTGAGCGAATATCAACGAGCGAGAGAGCGAATGAACAGGCGAACAAGCGAAGGAAACGAACGAGGAGCAAGCAAGCGAATAGCAAACAATTACATAGGCAATTTATAGTCAAATTTAATAAGGGCACAGCAAAGCAAAACAAAGGCTGATAATAATATTTGCGTGCGTACATATATGGGGAGGAGTATGAGTCATCGAATGATATTTAAGCAGTCAACATTTCGGCTAGAGTGTCATGTGCTCTAGTGGTATAGCTGTGCAAAGAATATGCAAATTTTTACTATCCTAATGACGATGTCTGTTAAGTAAGTTAATAAAAAGGGCTTAACCAAAATTGGCTATAATTGGAATTGATTGTAGGATGGTTGCTATAATTCTATGCCAGTGAACAACTTAACTAATTGATGGATATGGAAAATTATGTAAACGAACAATTTACAGGTTGACGATAACTGTTTAACACTGACCACTTTCACGTTTATTCATGTAATGAATTATTTAAATATAACTGTATTAACTATACGTAATTTCCTTTTGTATTGGTTGTTTGAATGTTCCCATCACTTTTTAGGACTGCAGATGGTCAGTCTCTCATTGGCATATGTACATCCTGTGCGGATTGCATTGATATTGATATATCCCGTGAAAGCTTGGTGAAAGGTCGTATTCTTTTGCACCATAAATATTGCTAGTATCCACCCGGATATACTGTCATAGTGAAGTAACTTATACACATGACGTAATTTTTCCATGAAACTTCTAAAGTGATTCAGTACTTAAAAGTTGTCATAACCAAACGGGTACTCATAAAGTGAACACTTAGATACTGCTTATTGTCAAGATCAGTAACCCGTTAAGGTTATTGGTATACCTCCCCATGAAACCACGATAAAGACACGAATAAAAATTGTGCAAAACTTATTGATACTACTGATAAAGGAAGAACAAGATTCCATGCAGAAAAATAAGTTTACAAGTCTTATATATAGTTAAAAATACAACCACAAAGGACTTCTTGTAGCAAACAGAGTCTCTGTCATATCTCCATACTTCCTTATATCCCTAACCATGTATTTTTTTATCGTTAAGCAGACGACACAAAAATAAGCGTTAGAGAAGCTGGAGTCTTACCTAGTTATTCATGATTCTTAAGTAATGAGTGTCGACTTTTCTTTCCAATGTCATCGCGAGACGCTCACCATGTTTATCCACAATCTGTTGTTTGTGCATTTTCTGACTTAGTTGAATCTGTACATACTGCTTGCTTTGTCTGAATGATGGAACTGTTGTGCTTTTATAGAAGGTATATGTGTTATCTGTCTTTTATCGGCTGTAGTATCTAAGAGTGTGACTACCTATGCATTTTATACTTAGTAATTGATATAGCTTACCTCTAAGAGTTCGTCTTCTCATGTATGCCAGAAACATATTATGGGAAGAATACCGGCATGTCACAAACGTTCGTCAGTTGCACTCGCAAGTGCTTGTATCTACCTCATAAGTCCTGCCACAGTTAATCATAAATATCCAATCACCATCTTCACATCTCACATAGACATAACGCATCTTCTTGTGTTTCAGTTAAAGCTCACTTTTCATTATTGGCATTGTACGTATAATCAATACCAACTACTTCGGGATATTTGTGATATAATTCCATTTGTCCATGATTACTGAAGCAAATTCTAGTGACATATCCATTTTCAGGATACTCTCTCAGTTCGCCGTTCTGTCGCAACATACTAATGCTTGCATTTGTGTGCCGCATCCTGAAAATATATTTATACACAATTACCTATGGAGATATAAGCTTTCATAGTCTTTACATCAGCAGCAGTGATCTGTTTACCAGTTTGTTCATTAATACTTTTAATTACTTTATCTATTGATGGTGATGTCAGCATCACCGGCTTCCAATTTTCTTTATCTTTTGAGAACAGTCTTCTGGTCCATGGATCAAAAACCATCCATGAGCTACTACAAGGATGATTATGAAACATCTCGAGTCATTTTATGATATATTTTTCCACTTCCAAAGTTACACGTAACATCGATCGGCAGTTCAGAAACTTAGACCTTAAGTGTCACATATAACTTAAGGTTCTCACGGTTTTCGATTCACTGTTACACTCTGTAGTGTTCGCTTATGACTAAATATGCACTGAAACACTAAAAACATGTGTTTAAATATTATATCCTTCAATAACTTACTTTCGACGTGAATGTAATGGGTATGAATAGTCTGAGGAGAGATAACATTACTGTTTTCTTACTTGTTGGAATTCCCTTAGAGCACTCAATTTCAACCCAGCTTACGAAACGCTTGTTCAGTATTACACGCTGAAAAGCCTAGCTTGCGTCGACTGAGATATCTCTTGAACATGAAGCACTAAAAACAGTGCTAAGTAATTATAAAACAAAACAAATAGCTAATCACTTCACTAATACTTTACTAACTGCAGAAAGTATTACTAACATTTAAGGTGGAAGCTTAAAACTTATCGGTTATCTAACATTTTATCTTAAAATTTACGTAAAACGGTGATATACACAAAGTTCGTGTATCTAGAATTGTTAAGTTATTCTTATTTATATTACATCGTTTTCTGAACCCCATCACGTTTTAAACAAAAGCGGTGAAGTTCAGCACAGCAATTGGTTTCCGAGATCAAGTTACGAAACAACAAACGAGCCAATGTGTAGACTACAAAACAGAGGAAGGTTAGTTAATGTTATTTGCAATGATTGTGTGATTTTATTGCGGCAACATACTACTTAAATATGAGAGCACTTAAATTCCATACAACTCAACGGATACTTAATCAACACTCCACTACATACCAGGCCGCCAAAGGTCTTTGAAATGAAACGGTGGAAGATATTGAGTGAACCTAATGTTATCACTGTGCCAAGATTTATTATTAAGACATAAGTTTACTTCTGTAACATTCCATATAAGATAAAACAATGGTTGAGTGCTCTTTCGTTTAGGCGTATAAATTTCTCTATTAATTCCTGTTAATAACGCGTAGCTATGAATAGGTCTCTGTGAATGTGATTTGATTTACAGTGTAAATAGATTGTTCGGTGAATAAGTGTACTTGTAGCATGGTTCGCTTACTCTTTTTTGGAATAATTGACCAGTACTTTTTCGGTAGTTAAGCTTTCATTTTGAATGAGTAGAAAAGGATTCGATCAAAATGCCCAGTTCGTT